TGGTAATGTATGATATATCGACCTTTAAATCCTAATGTGCCATAATCAATACATGTAGCAGTAGCATTAGCTACATTATGATGTTTGTTTTTTGGTATACCAAACTTAAAATCAGAATGTAGTTGTGGATTTCAATATTTACGAGTGTCTATTTCAGAATTAGCAATGTATTTTGAAATTCAGCAATATTTAAATCTTAGTTACGCCAATATATTGTACATGATAGACCAACAGTTTGGTTATAATGTACCACATCATATATTATTAGCATATATATATATATATGAGTGAGTAAGAGATTTTATCTTCACTTTCTATAATCATAATTTAAATTAAGTCTAAAGGTCAGATTATAAGCCCACTTATCTCCGTCCAAAATTTACAAAACCACCTTCTCTATTCTAAATTTTCAAAATTAAATGTTCACAATTCAAAAAGAGAATAAGAAAAAAAAAAATCAAAATCTGAGTTGGTGGGTCGGGAACACAAATTTTGGTACGCATGAAGAATTACATAAAAATACAAATTTATTATTTTTTTATTATTATTATTTTTTTAACGTAAAAATATATGGAAGGAACAAAAATACAACATGAATTTTATCTACCCAAGATATTTTGAGTTCAATTTCAATAGATTCGGTTATATGAATACATAGTAATCTTGTTATGTAGATTTTATTTACTTTAGCAAATTAGTCTCAGATCAAGTCTGTCTTGATTTATGATGTTATCACGCTAATTTTGATTAAGGTTTTTTTCTCCTTTTGAAATAACCCATTGTGAGAGGAAATTGTTTTGTTCTATTTTGATGGCTCTCACGCTGGGAAATATTGGGACTTTTCGTTTCGAAATTCTTCAACTATTAGATACGATATTGCTAAAAAAGGGAGAGACTTCATTTTTAGAATAAGAAAAGGAAGGGAGATAAAAGATGAGATCTTTGTAGTTGCCCAAAAATAAAAATAAAAAAATGGAGTAAGAGGAAAGGCAGATGTATGGGTGGGCTTGAGCCCACTAAAAAGATGAGATCTTTGTAGTTGCCCAAAAATAAAAATAAAAAAATGGAGTAAGAGGAAAGGCAAATGTATGGGTGGGCTTGAGCCCACTAAAAAAATATATATATATTTTTGTTTTGGTATACTAATTTTAGCCCTATTTAAAGAAAAATTATTAATAGCATTAGTAGGGGTGAGCAAATAATCCGTCAATCTGGTCCAAACCAATCTGATCTGTGTGGTTCGGTTCGGTTTTCAGATCTCATGATTCGGTGATGGTTTGAAAATTTTGCAATCCGGTATTCACAGTTCGGTTAACGGATTAGACTATGGGAAAATCGATCCGAACCGTTAGTCAATCCCAACCAAACCGTTACTGAATAATATATTATATATTTACAATATTGAATATACAATATACTTATTACTGTATTTCTTATTTATTTTTATTTTTTTTCATTATTCTAACCCTAGCTCCCAAATTACTCATTAGTCTCATCTGGCATCTCATTTCATTAGTACAGCCGCGCTTCCCTTTCCTCTTCTCTCCAGCCTCTCCTCTCTTCACTCAGACTCTTCACTCTTCACTCTTCACCTTTGTTTTGGTTCACTCTTCACCTCCCAATCTCGTCTCTCAATCAATCGTTCACCAGATTCGAAGCAATGGCGACCTCTGCGAGTGGATCTACCTCTTCTCTGGTGAGCTCACAAAATTTTTGCATGGATCTTCTTCTTTTCCTCTTCTCTGAACATTTTTTGTAAATAACATCAATATTTTTTGTTAATCACCATAACACAGTGATGGATCTTCTTATTCTGGAAAACGACGCCGCCGACGATTATCCCGTGGTTGAACTATAACTGTGTGGCTTCGGGCTCCACTTTGTACGCCATCACGGAGAGTTCTCGTATCTGTTCGGTGAACGCCGCTGATCTCTCAGGTCGCTGGAGTGCGATTCAACCCAGTGCTAGTAGACCTTTAGTTTATTTTCCTTTGTCAAGACAGGGAATCCATTGCCCTAACCCTTCCCAAGATGTAAAGTTAAAGTTATTCATTGGAAAACAGACCCATATGAAACTCTGTCTCAGATTGAGGAGGCGTTTTTCTTTTTCTGAAATTTTGTTTCTTTGTGTTTTTTTTCTTTTAAGGTTTCCTTGCTGCCATGGACTCTTATTTTTCTCTGTAAATATCATTGATTTTGTATTCATATTTTTTTAAAAGAAATGAACAAGATTGACAAAGCCCAATCAACCCAATCCGCATAAACCAATCCAATCCGATCCGTTACTTCACGGATCGGTTTGGTTTCAATTTTTGCCAATCCGTGGGAACCGGTTCGGCTTGATTTTTGTCCCCAAACCGAATCGATCCGTTACTTCACGGATCGGTTTGGTTTCAATTTTTGCCAATCCGTGGGAACCGGTTCGGCTTGATTTTTGTCCCCAAACCGAATCGATCCGAACCGTGATCAGGCCTAAGAATTAGCCTGTCACGTCCTGAATTTTCTAAATAAATTACTCGATTTATTCAAATCAAAATACTTAATAAAAGGCACCTAGAATCTCAAAAGAAATATCATTTTATTGATACAACATCAATTCCTCAAAAAAAATACAATACAACATCTCTAAATAAAATTAAATAATTCCTCAACGCCAACTCTTCCACCTAAGCCCGTAACTAGCAATCCAGGATCATCTTGGTACCTGAAACTGTAGGGGGGTGAGATGGGGGAAGTCCCTAGGAAAAACCATAACAAAGATTTCAAAGAGTTCTATGCAAAATCAGCTTCACAAAAATATACATATACTTTTAAACAAAATACGTATATGCAATTTTAGCAAAATATCAGTCAACAAAATAATTGAAACAAAATCATACAGGCCATTCAAGATATGAAACATCCTACACTGTAAAATAAAAATATCACTGGAACAATAATTCTTCAAACTCTTGGACCTCTCTGAATTCTCGGGCCTCCACTGTTTCTCTAAAACTCTCTGTATTTCCTCAATATTTCTCTCTATCAATATGCTCACCAAAGTCACAAAACAGTCACTTATAAAGGAAAATGCACTGACACTAAATAGTATCAGAGCCTGTACCCAGCCAGAAGTGTGAATGTAGTGATGATGTATTTGTCGATTGAGAATGTGCGAGTGTTTAGTACTGACTAGCGTGTGTGTGGGGGGGGAGGGGGGGGGGGGCAGCTACTAGGATGATTGATATCGGTGATTAGGGGCAAGTGTCCCTAGATCACTATCAGTTTTATTCTATTTTGTGGGCGAGTGACGGCATCGTCTAGCTGCCACAACGGTTGCGGAGTGTGTGGGCGGGTGACTAGCACTGTCAGCTACCACAACGTTAGTAAATGTCACAGTATCTCGCATCGCCTGGGGTAAGGTTTTTTTTTCATATTTCGCCACTTCTTGGATGTTCTCGGGAATGCGGAGACCGTTGGATCTGAATTTCAGGATGAAATTCTTTTTAAGTGGTGGAGAATATGATAACCCGAATTTTTAAGAGTTTAAATTATATTTATTTCATTTTCTTTTTGTGTCATAATTAAATATTTAATTATGATTGGAGACTTATCAATTGGAGATTGATTATTTAATTGGAGAATTTATAAAGATTAAACTTGGGTTATTATTATTTTGTGTCCTTAGTAATTATTTTTTGTGGATTTATTTATTTTTATTCATTAAATTAGTGGATTCATTGTTGGATGCTTGATATGTAGCAATATATATTTTAGGTGATCAATTGAAGAGAAGTGAACAGTAGCCGAATTAGAGGGAACCAAAATGGGAATTTGTGGTAATGGTTTTAGGTGCGGGTCTCACTTTAATGATGAGTATTGTGCTTGATTTTATTGTATATATTAGAGCATCCGGGTGCAGTCTTCCGTAGAGTGAGAATGCGTCAGTTTAGAGAGAGAAAGGGGCTGTATGGTGAAAGAAGTAGAGTATTATTTTGGTGGGACTTACACTCATTATCTATGCTTCTCTCCATGTACAGAGATCCGTTTGGATAATACTCCATCTGTTTTTTTTCTTTGTTTACACAATCTGATAGAAGGCAAACAAAACAAAAGGCAGCTTCTTCAATGGCTCAATTATTTTAAATTAAATTAATAAAATAATAAATAGAGAATGAAATAATTGAATTCCACACCATAAAATATAAGAAAAAAAAAAAAATAAAGTACTAAATCACCACTTTTAAACTTATGTGATATTTTACTTTTTAAAATAGTAGATAAATAATTTGTGTGGTCAAGCCACATACTCTTATATGTATATACATATGTTGTCTGATGAGTAAGGAATAAAAGGGAGAATGGATAAGGAAAGAAGATAGTGGCGGGACCAGTGACTTTTTTGGTGCAACTGTGATGATATTGTCTGATGGAGGCGTGTGGGGGCGCAGTAAGGTGATGCTTAGTGTCGGTGCTTTTTCCTTTAGAAGTGACTGTAGTGTCGGTGCATTTTCCTGTAGAAGCGACTGTTTTGTGACTTTGGTGAGCATATTGATAGAGAGAAATATTGAGGAAATACAGGGAGTTTCAGAGAAACAATGGAGGTCCGAGAATTCAGAGAGGGCCAAGAGTTCGAAGAATTGTTGTTCTAATAATATTTTTGTTTTATAGTCTAAGATTTTTCATATTTTGAATGACTTGGATGATTTTATTTTAATTATTTTATTAATTAATATTTTGTTAAAATTATATATATATATATTTTTTATTTAAAAATATTTATATATTTTTGTGAAGCTAATTTTATATGAAAATGGACCGTGGACAAAGGGAGATATGGAAGAAAAAAACAAGAAAGTAAAATGAGAAAAAGGAAAAGAGGAAAGAAAAGTGGTGGCGGGCCCGGGGGACTTTTGGCCATATTCTTTGGCCTTGATCTTTTGCATCACCTGGCTTTGTCAATAATTGTAGAGAGATAAGGATTTTTGTAATGTGTCGGTGGAAAAGTCTTTAAATTGTATGTTTGTGCCTTAAGTATTGGTGCACTGAGGTATTGAGAGGAGGAGAAAAATAGAGGAAAGCCACGGAGCAGAGGCCGAGAGTTTGGAGGTGTTGATGATTCATTGATGAATTTATTTTGCAGTGTAGGATTTTTTATACTTTAAATTGTTTGGGTTATTTTATTTCAAATATTTTATTAATGTTATTTTGTTAAAATTACACATATGCATTTTTGTTTAAAAGTATATATATTATTTTGTGAAGTTAATTTTCATGAAATCTTTTAAAATTTTTGTTATGATTTTTCCTACTAGAACTTTTCCCGTCTTACTTTCTTTCAATTTCAGGTAACGTAGATTACTAGTTGTGGGTTTAGGAGAAGAGTTGGCGTTCAGGATTATTTTATTTATTTAGAGATTTTATGTATTTAATTTAAGAAAATTGATTTAGTATCAATAAAGGATAAAGGAATTTTTATTTTCTTTTGAAATCCTGAAATATTGAAGTATTTGAAATTGAATAAATTAAAGATTTTATTTAGAAAATTCGAGACGTGACATAGCCCATTCAGTCAAGCCCAAGTCAACTCAGCCACATAGTAAAAATAAAAGCCCAAGCCAAATAAGCTCAGGCTCAGCCCATGGATGATGGGTCATCAACACACAAAATATTTTTAGGGTTCAGCCTCCCCAATCGCCTCCATCTCTATTCTCGTTCTCAACTCTCCCTCTCTCTCTCTCCAACTGCAAACTACAAAATCTACAAGAATCAGAAGTTCAAAACCCATATATTTCAGTTTATCTATCTGTCTGCAAGAATCAAAAGTTCAAAACCCATATCGGCATATCATTTCAGATTGTTTCAAAAATCAAAACCCATATCTTTCAGTTTCCATCGCCCGTTCCAGTTCCTGGTTCGCCGTTTGCAAGCTTCTGCCGCTGTCTCTCAACTCTCAAGCTTCACCCCCCCCCCCCCCCCCCTCTGCAACTGCTAACTTGTATGTATGGGTTTTGTTTTAAATTTTTTTTTTTTTTTTTTTTTTTTTTTTTTCTAAATCAACTAATCAAGGTCTGTAATTCTTGTTTTGCAAACTAAATACTAAAATCTAAGTGTAATATTGATTTTGTGTAAGGGTAAATTTGGCATCAGAAATAATCTTAGACTCCATTTCTGGGTGTTTGTTGTTTTTGTTACTGATCTGAATACGCAATGGTGTTTCTATACTTTTTGGTGTTTGGATTTTCGGATTTCAGTTTCTTGTTTTGTCATGTGTGGTTGAAATTTGGGGCTCTCTCAACTCCATCTCTATGCAATATTGGGTTTTTCTAATTTTGTTAATTTGTTCGGTGTGTGGCCCTTAAAAATGAGGGGTTTTGTCCCATTTTCTGAGCTATTTGATACATGGGGTTGTGGCTGTGCTTCTTTTCTTATATGTTTGTGATTCTGCAGCTTCTCTTGATTTTTGGTTTTTTAAATGAGCTTTCTTCTTCTCATTTTGATTGTTCCTTATATCTTATACTATTATTGTTACGGATCTTGCTTCTTTCATTTTCCTATTTTTTTTTAGTGTTTTATTATCATCAGTTATATACTAGTCGGAACTTTTTTTTAGTATTATTTAAAATCAAACTTTGACGTCCATCTGAAATTTAAGTTTGCTAATCTGAAATTTAAGGTGAAGCAGTAAGGAAGGAACGCAGGTCACGGAAAAGGAAAACCCTAGCCTCAATCCTCGTGTAAGGTGAAGAAAGAAGGAAGAGGACGCGCAAGGAGGAGAAGAGAATCTCACTGTCTCACTGTTGCGGCTAGGGTGGTGGCGGTTCTGAGCCTCTAAGAGGCATGTCTCCTCAATCATCAGGTAGCTAACTCCTCCTATTCTTCTTCTTTTTAGTAGATTCCTGATTGAAATCGGTAAGTCTTTGCTGATATGTAATACTTCCTTTAATCATTTGGAACTCCATTCAAGTTTATTGGTTTCATATTGCTAATATGTTAGTAATACTTTCTTTAATCATTTCAAAATCGATTCAAGTTTATTGATTTCATATTCTTATAACTTCTGACTGTTATTAAAGTCCAGTTTCCATATCTCTCCCAAGTTTTTGAGGTGTTTGAATTCTGTCCCTTTAATATAGGTTTACTTCATGTGAAGGGAAAAGAGCTCAGTGAAATGAGTGGAATCGGAAAATGGTAAGTATGTTGTTTGTGACCATATTCTACTTGTTTGATGTGATGTTACATTTTATTAATTGATAATTATACAAATTGTTTTCCTGATGTATTAGAAAAATATCATATTGCTTTGGTTCAATATTTTGTTTTTCTTTTTTACTTCTATTGAATAGATAGGACAGTCATTTGCACCATTTTAACACTCTATTAGGTTTTCTATCTTAATTGAATTAATTATTTTTTTAAAAAAATTTACGAGTCTCTTACTATGAGATGCTTATTATGATTTATTTTCAATAGTGATAAAATGGATTTTTTTTTTTTTTTTGATGCTGCTGGAATCCGGTCCCTTGGAGCACCCCATAGCCTACCGCAGGGCAAATGTAGTCCTCCCGTTTACATGAACCAGACAAGTAATAGAAAATTATATGGGAGTGCTCCTAAGGGGTTTTGAACACTTTTTTTTTTTTTTTTTTTTACCAATTCAATTTTCTCCATTCTTATTTCCTCTTTTGGGCTTTCACTTCTCTCAACAATCTTAACCCTAATTCTTCTAATGTCAAATCGACATCCAATATGATGACCTTATTTCAATTTCAATTCTATCATGAACACGAAGCACTGTTGAACTTCAGATTTTTGTGATCCACCCATTTAATTTTTTTGCCCGATTGAGTTTAATTGTAACTATTATGTAGTATATTTGATTTAACATGTAAAGATGTTATGAATTTGCATTGGTCATTTTTTTGTCAACACATGTGGTATTTTATATAATTAATATTATGAATCGAATTGTTGTTCACAAGTGTCACACATTCATCAGACTAGAGGACTATTATGAATCGAATTGTTTTCCCATGACTAGAGGACTGCATTTGCTTTTTTCCAAACATAGAGCCTTTAATTGCATAAAGGATTCGGTCCCTCTAAGATTCAAACTTATATACCAAGCAATTACCTCAGGCTTTAATGGTCTGTCACACACTCGCATCTTATTTGAATTATTGTTATTTGGTTGATACGATATAGGTGGCATTTTATAAAATTGAGAATCAAGCATTTGGGGCTTTCTCAAAGCTGAATTAGTAAGATATAGGTGGCATTTTATTAACACTTTAAAAACTTTTCCTCTTTTGTCTGAATAATATACATCTCTTTTCTGAAAGAAGAGAGTTGATTGGAATGGGTGGAGTAGGGAAAATACCTTTCGGTTTCGGCTGGCGTGACGTCGGGAAGATGCCTTTCGGTTCCGGTTTGCACGGTAGCGGCTTCGTGGGGAAGATTCCCGTTTACTGACAGAGACAGCTGCAGGAGGGATGGGATGGCTTTTGGTTCCCGTTCTCGGACCGCTGGCCACAGTAGATCTACGCCTCGCCCTAGCAGAGAGGTATCTTTTGGTTCCCAGTGGACTGATAGGGGCAGCCGGAGGTACATGACTACTGCTCCTCGTAGTAAATCTATGCCTCGCCAGACTTATATTTCCCGTTGGATTTACGGTGGCTCCAGTATACCAAAAAAGACTATTACTACTGGTAATATATATATCTTTCTTTATTTTGTGCATCTTTAATCACAAATTGGTCCATCTTTTTTCCCCTTCCATTGAATCTCTTCCCCTTCACCTTTGTAATTCATGGGAATTTGTCTTAAAAAAAATCATACATAATGAAAATAGTGAGCATCCCGAGATGGTTCAAAGTTTTAAGGATTTCTGAGTAGCTTCTGGACCTGTGAGACCCAAGAATGACTCTTCCATGGGATGGCTTGACAATAGATTTTGTATGATTGGAATTGTCATTATTTACTTAATAAGACAAACACCAACTTTGCTCCAATCAAGACAAATTCCCTACCTCTCATTTGGAAAGTGGACAAAATACCACTCAAGTTCAGTCAGATTCCATTATTGTTTAGGTAGTGCTGATTGGTGTCCTTGTATTTTAGAAAGGCCAAATTGGTTTAATCATAATTTCTAAATGATGCTTTACTCATTCTTTTGATACTTCCTCCTCCACTACATGATGTAGTTATGATTAATTGGATTCTGAAGGTGAGGTGATTGCTCTAAGAGAAATGTTCATTTATACACAAGTTCTAATGAGCAATATCTACGTAAATTTATTTTTATTTTTCTACATGAATCTAGTTTGCATTTTATTTGTATTTACAATCATATTATGTGTAAATGATTACTTTTATAACCCATGCTGCTAATGGTTTAATGAAAGATTACTATATGTTAGCCAAAGTTAACCATCCTCTTTGTTTTACTGTATATTCTTATTTAAAATGATACGATTTAGTATGGAGTATTAGTTTTTCATTGCTTAATAGTAGACCCTTTAATAATATATTAATATGACTTGATTATGAATATTACTCAATAGAGTTGTAATGTTTTAATTTTCTCTATTAAAGGTTTAGTTGTTATTGAGTAAAATATCCTTTAAGAAAATAAAGTTCCCCTCCTTGATTAGCTCAGAATTCTAGCACAAGGGTTGATTCCAACACTTCAACTTTGTAACAGATCTTCCTGCAGTAGAACTAGACAAGACCTCCTCTAGCTGATAACAATAGCACAGCAAAGCCTGGAGACCTCGATGGACAACCCAACCCCTACTCCTGCCCCACCACCAGCCAAAATATAGTCACACCTATCAGCCACCTCATGTGTAAGAAATCAACCCAATAAGAGTATGCTTTTGAATCTTGCTCTATGGATAATTAATTGCATGACGCATCCACCATCTCGATGCAATGTTCATGCTATCGTTAGTTGATATAATCACAACTAGCAGTTGGTACTTTAGCAATTAAGGTTTTGATCCCTTTTTTGCTTCTTTTTTGTTTCTTTGGTTGGTGCTTATGGTGACATGCACAGGTTTGAAGTCATTTGGTTTTGTCAGCAATTTTGATAGTCCGATTTTCAATGTAATTAAGTTTCTTTTAAAGTCTTTATCTCTCTTTCTTTTCTAATTGTATGCTGGGACTGAAGTAGTTCAAACTAGGAAAAATCTATTAAACTAAATCAAATATTTCATCTCTCATTACAAATATTTGTGCATGCTTGTTTCTAGTTTCGAATTTTTCCTTGGGAGTTGTTCGTTTTGCATTTTTATTGTAGTTGGGTGTGGTGCCCAATTGATATCCGCAACCTTGGGAAAAAATTTATGGTGTGTTGGATGTAATAAATACGGACTACTAGGAAGGTCAAAGATTTTTGTTTTGACTCATATTTTTTTAGTATTAAAAAAATATAGTTTTCCTCTAATTTTATGCTATAAATTGTCTGCATAGAAAACCTTTTAAGGTTCCTGTTTCTGACAAATTCTTCTATTTTTTCCCTAAAAGCTAGCTCTCGAGGCATTATGAAATTCTTCAAGTTTGTAATTACACATCTATCAACATTTTAAATTTTCTATCTCAAAAAATATTTTACCAAGAATAGCATTCTTTTGTAAGGAATGGAATGGAAAATGTCATAATTGGGGTTATCTGTCTGCAGATTATTACCAATGGAAAGTACACAAGTGCTCAACATCAAGCCATAACTAATGGTAACAAGGCGCGGCTATCAGTTGCCACATTTCATGACCCTGCAAATACAGTGAAAATATAACAAGGCGCGGCTATCAGTTGCCACATTTCATGACCCTGCAAATACAGTGAAAATATCTCCAGCTTGTGAGCTTGTCAGTGACGATTCTTCTCTCCGGTATCATCAGCAAGTTATCTATGGGGACTGAAAACGGAATATTGATGCCTTCCTATTATAATCAAATGATGGTGTTTGGCCTTTGTAAAGCATAGGAACTCATCAATGTCTCCATAAATGGATAAAATTCATCAATCGATCGATCTAATGGCTAAAGTCACATGGAGAGCACAAGTGATAGAGAACACCCTACGTAAACTCACTCTTCCTTTATTTTGCTTTGCATAGTTCCCAGGCTTGCTTGATGGAGCAAGTTTGTTTTGTATAATTGTTTTGTATAATTTGTTCTAGTGTTGTCTTCAATTTTTCTGTTCGTCTCTCTCAACTCTTGTATATTGTTTCTTTTTACTGTTTGAATAAAAGTTTACCATGTTGAACCCAGAAAATAATAATCATAATCACAACAATCACCATTTCTTTCAGACAGTTGATGCAATTATACATGGATAGCATGGGTTCTCACACAGCAAAAAAAAAATCAAAAAAAAAAAAAAAAAAAATTCACAGCAACAAAAGAGACTATAAAAACATCATACTTAATTTAACTATCATTAAACTAAAAAGTAAGGCCGCAAGTTGGACTGGCCCAGCCCAGTTCTAATCCACTGGTCAAATTTTAAATTTTATTTTTACAAATGCATAAACATCAAAATTTTTAAGAAAATTTAATTTTTTAATTCATCAATACTTGCAATTTTTTTCAATTTTTATAACAACATGGAACTGCAGATGAATGAGCAAGGACTTTGAACTCTTGAAGGCCAATTTTTTTATGACAACATAGAACTGTAGATAATGTGAAATTACTGTTAACCGTGGAAATAATGTTTATATATACTGTTCCCAAATTTTTATTCATCTTCCAATCAAAACATTTATCCTGTACAAGCACAGAATAGAAACTGATAATTTTTTTTTTTTTACTGATAAAATTATTTTTTTACTTTTTTTTTCTCCCTTCTCTCTTCTCTCTCTTTTTCTCTCTCTCTCTCCCCTTCTCTTTTTCTCTTCATTTTTTCTTCTTACAGGCAAAGGAGGATAGAGGAGACAGGATCGGCCTGTAAAAATAAAAAAAAATAAAAACTTAAGAAAAAAAATTTTATTTTTTTATTTTTTATTTTTTATTTTTTATTTTTGTCTCCCTCCTCTCTCTTCTTTCTCTTTCTCTTTCTCTTTCTTTTGTCGCTTCATTTTTTTCTTCTTAGAGGCTAAGGAGGAGAGAGAGAAGAGAGAGAGAGGGGACCGTTTGTATGTTTGTTTTTTTTTTTTTGGCAATGGATTAGGCCCCTCCACTCTCTATTTTTTTTTTTTTTTTTTTTTGCATTATATACTTGAATTTTTTGAAAAATTATACAGATGTCCGCACTGAAGTTTCACAAATGCCCCCACTGTATAAGTTCCCCCACAATTATTTTATCTCCTAGACTCCTGCAACAACTCACAAGTTATACTACTTTACGCCCTTTCACGCTTTGGTTCTCTGCGTCCTACGCGAACAACAGACGAGACGAATATGGCTTCGGGCCTTCTGCAGTTCTTCCCATCACCGACCAGCCCCCACCTCCATCCGGCAATCCATGTCTCTCTCTCACATAGATGACACCCACTTGCAATTTGTAACCCTAGTTTTTAATTTCAACAGTTGGTGTTCAAAGCCCTAATTTTCATAACTTTGGCTCTTCAAGACTTCAACTAAGCTCCGGAACAGTTGGTGTTCGATTGATACTTTGGAAACATTGAATCAGTTCTTGTAGCCACGAAAAGCCGACCATTCAAATTTTATGTTGCTTCTGTCAGATTAATGCCCTTTGCCCCTTTGGTCAGGTACACTCTTTTCTCCCTTTAGGTTCAAAATTTTGCAATAAAGTTTTATTGAAGTCAAATTAAATACTGAAAATTTCTGTTAAATTTATTTATTTATTCATTCATTTTTGTTAATTACAGCTATTTCGATTGATTGTTGTTGTATGTTGAGGCCCTTTGTACAACAACAACAATTTGGATAAATTGGGAGTTGCAACTTGCAAGATCAAGTCCTTTTGTACGGGTACACTCTTTGAATTTTTTTTCTAATGACAATGCATATGCAATTTCTGAATATTTATTTATTTATTTATTTTTTTACAATGCACAATAGCATTATTTTGTTATATGAAATTTCTTAATATTTAATTTCTTTTTCTTTTTAGTACAATGCACAACAACACAGGCACACAATCTGTTATAATATGCAATTTCTGAATATTTAAGTTCTATTTTTTTCTCAAAATTTTTATTTTAGTACACTGCACAGGCGCACAATCTGTTATATACAATTTCTGAATATTTAAGTTCTGTTTTTTTTTCCATTATTATTTTTTAGTACAATGCACAGGCGCACAATTATTTGTTGTGGGCACAATTAAATGCACAGGCACACAATTATTTGTTGTGGGCACAATTAATTGCACAGGCACACTATTATTTTTTAGTACAATGCTCAGGCGCACAATTATTTTTTACTGAAAAGTTGTCGGGGACAATTGTGAATGTGCTCAATGGAATGATTCAATGAACAAAAAAATTCTTTTTGCTTATTATGATGATTTGAAATGTAAATGTGCTCAATGGAATTATCAATGAATGAAAATTTTCTTTTTGCTTATTAGGATGGTTTGTGTGTGTGTGTATATATATATATATATATATATATATATATTTATGTTGTTATTAAAAGGCCGCCCCCCTAACATAATTTCCTGGGTCCGTCACTGGATACAGTAATACCATACTGTCAATATATATTTATGTATAAGTGGACAAAAAATCTAAATTTCAAAAATAATAAAACAATCTAAAGTTCATATCCGATTTGGAATACTCGATGGATTAGAATCCGATCCATGGACAGGTCTACTTGTAATATCTTTTTTTGGAAGGTAAATTTTTTTGGAAAGTTAGCTTGTAATAACATAATTAATTACAAGCTAAAAATTGATTTCTTGCCAGTCGGAATGAGTTTCTCGTTCATATTTGCCGAAAAAAAAAGTCCACTTTTTTCATTTAATCATCGAGTATTCCAAACTACTTTCTTTTTCTAGAAAGTTATTATGAGATTCTTTTCCTAACATTTTCCCCAGCTTTTAAATCATCAGTCAATAATCATCCAATTGGTACCATTATACACAAATTCCATACATGTCTTGGAAGAAAATGAATCTTTAATTCACTACTTGGCATTCTTTTATATATGTACGTACACATACATATCATCACTATTGATTCTTGCATTGTTTTTCACTTACATTGTTCTTGGAATTAGTCATACTTAACTTCTTAGAATATTTCTTTTGTGTTGGATTTTTATGTTGCATATTTATGTTTTGTTTTGGTTTTAATATACCATCTATTATAAGTTTCTGTTATAGCAAAATCATTTCCATTTAAAGAGTCAAATAGTATAACAACATTGGAATACTGCTTTTGTTGATTCTATAGGTTACTTCTGTTAATATTAAAGAAGACATGAGTATTGCTGTAGTAAATGGAACTCCAACCAGGCTTGAGGTTTGTGACTCAAATTGATTTATACAGAGGAGTGGAATTATACAAGAAGAGAATTAATTTGTGTTTTTATTCCCGAAAAAAACTAATTTTTTTTTTCCTTCAATTTCAGGGAAGGTTTAGTGCAATGGTAGTATGTTGGATTCTTGGACTCGGGTCCGTCGTGTCATGGAACAATTGGAGACTACTACTATAAATTGTTCCTGGTACTTCGCCCATAGTTATTTTCCATCCTTCTTTTCAGATTATGACTCTTTCCTTTAAATTCATTCATTTTATACATCTTTCCCGCCAACATAATATCAAGGACAAATTTCCTACCAACAGAAATTGAATGTCACAAAACACTTATCCAATGTAAAATTATGATTTTAGACCTGTGCACCAATTTCTTTTGTGATGTGTTTCTTTTGCATAGAAGAAATACCATCCTGCCAGGGTTCTTACCCTCATTTATCAACCGTTCGCATTTGGTACAATTGCAATACTTTCATACAATGAATACATTGTATGAAAGTATGAAAGTTTATCAACAGTTCGCATTTGGTACAATTGCAATACTTTCATACAATGTACCAAATGATAAACTTTCATACTTTCATACAATGTACTCATTGTATGAAAGTATTGCAATTGTACCAAATGCGAATGGTTGATAAACGAGGGTATGAAAGTATGAAAGTTTATAATAATGAGGTAGGAAAACCAATGACGCTGTATGGAGCGCCAATGCTGAACTGCGTAGGCAGTTGGATGACGCTTTCAGAATTGGCTGAACTGCGTAGGCAGTTGGATGAGTTGCTTGAGTCTGGCTACATTCAAGCATCCAAGGCACTGTATGGAGCGCCAATGCTGTTCCAGAAGAAGCAGGATGGCTCAATGCAGATGTGTGTGGACTACAGGGCTCTGAATAAGGTGAGTATGATAATAATGAGGTAGGAAAACCACCTGTTTTGATACTCATCTAGAATTCAATCATTTGTTCATTAACTCTGTTATCAGTCATCCAATGGAGTATTAGAGCAAACTAATATCTTTTGAGGACTTGGTATTTGAGCATTATGTTGAACTTGTGGGGCGCTAGAATTTAAAATTTCGAATAGCTTTGCAGACTTGTAAAACCACATGACCTTGCTTTTGAAATATATATATATATAAATTTGCCTTGTTTATATATATATATATATATATATATATTTGACTTGTTTCCTAGAAACACTATGCCAGTAAAAAAGTTTTGACTTTTTTTTTCTTTTTCCTCCTAATTTTAATTTTTTTTTTTTTTAGAACAGTATAGTATTATTGAGATACACTTCCAAATATATAGGCACTAGGATACAATGATCTGTGTAGATAAATATCCATTCCCTTTGCATGAACAATCATATTGAACCTCTTAAAGGATCGATTTTGCATTGGAAGAGCTAATATGTTCCCAAATTAGTCAACGGGTTGGTTTAGATTAGTTTAAGATTATAAAAATTGACTTTTCTTGTAATTAATTTACAACTATATCTTAGAATTATTAAACATTGGGAACATGTTAACATTAGAAGGTTTGTGTGACATCCATTACATATTAGATTGATAACTTGTAAAGATGCAGTTTATAACTATGGAATTTTATTGAACCTGACATTGACATTACTCTGCTCTAAATGGATGCAACTACAAAACTGATTATTAGTATTTATGATTTAAGACTAGAGAGATATTGGGGTGTTTCTTGCACATTTTTTCAGTTGTTGCACATTTGGGCTATCATTGGCTTCTTATATTAGTAGACTTATCTTCTGCTTTGGCTTATGTGTGTAGGTTTGGCAAATTCCTCCTCCTTTACGGTTAAAGCATCGAGTGTTATAAGTTATCTGGTGACCATGTCTAGCAGTTCAGGAGTTTTCATTTTATATATATTAATTTGAGATTTTTTATTTTTGCTTTAACAGAGATTTTTATATATATTAATTGGAGTTTCATTTTGTTGAATGGACATTGGAGATTTTTATTTTGGCCTTAAAAGAAGAAATATATGTTGAGATGTTGGCTTTGGCTTTGGCTTTGAATCCATAATCATATGCTTGGGATTACTATATTTATATGCCCGTACTTTTCAAAAGGTTTTTAAAGAACGTCCTTGTTGGCTGAGTTGTTATGTGGTTGACAAGTTGGGCTGATTTTACAAGTCAATGATAAGATGATCCATTTAGAGATTTTTAGTTTATAGTATGTAACCATGAGAAGATGTAATATAGTGATATGATTTTCTATTTTATGTACATGTATGCAAGGTTGGTTTCATTGTTTTTATGAATCAATTTTTTGTGACTTTCTAAAATCTCTGAAAAAATATTTCAACCATCTTCCAAATTGTCAACCAATGTTGAAGCTAATATCAACTAGAATTAGTAATAAATTTTTGTCCCTTTTAGTAACCTTATTCCCACACCAACTTTTTAGTAACATCATACCCCTTCAAATATAATTCTCTCTTTCTTGGAGGAGAGCATTTTCACCAAATATTACAACCATGTTTGTTACTTGTTTTCAACCAATGTTGAAGCTAACATCAATCGGAATTAATAATTAATTTATGTCCCTTCTAGCAACCTTATTTCCACACTAAATCAGAATCTTTCAAATATAATTCTCACTATTTCTATGACTATTTGATACTATTTCTGGTTCAAATGAACCCAGTTTCTAAAAGGGACACAAATTAGTTATTAATTCCGGTTCTCTTTCTTAGAGGATCGTATTTTTACTAAATATTACAACCGTGTTCGTTACATATTTTCAACCAACATTGAAGCTAATATCAACCGGAATTAGTAACTAATTTGTGTCCCTTTTAGCAACCTTATTCCCACACTAACATTTTGGTAAATCAGAATCATTCAAATATAAAATCAATTTTTTGTGACTTTCTAAAATCTCTGAAAAAATATTTTAACCGTCTTCCAAATTGTCAACCAATGTTGAAGCTAACATCAACCGGAATTCGTAATTAATTTTTGTCCATTTTAGTAACCTTATTTCCACACTAACTTTTTTCTTTTTAGTAACATCAGACCCCTTCAAATATAATTCTCTCTTTTCTTATTTGACCGCATTTTCACCAAATATTACAATCGTGTTCGTTACATATTTTCAACCAACGTTAAAGCTAACATCAACCAGAATTAGTAACTAATTTGTGTCCCTTTTAGCAAACCTTATTCCCACACTAAATCAGAATCCTTCAAATATAATTCTCACTCTTTCTATGACTATTTGTTACTAATTTCCGTTCAAATGAACACGGTTGCTAAAAGGGACACAAATTAGTTACTAATTCCGGTTCTCTCTTTCTTAGAGGACCGTATTTTCACCAAATATTACAACTGTGTTCGTTATAAATTTTCAACCAACGTTGAAACTAACATCAACCAGAATTAGTAACTAATTTGTATCCCTTTTAGCAACCTTATTCCCACACTAACATTTTCGTAAATCAGAATCCTTCAAATATAAATCAAATTTTTGTGACTTTCTAAAATCTCTAAAAAAATATTTCATTCATGTTTATTATGTCATTTCAACCAATGTTAAAATCAACATCAATCCTATTTGTAACTAATTTCTCTCCCTCTTAGCAATGTTATTTTCACCCTAGTTTTTGAGTAAAACAAAATCCTTCAACAACAAAAAAAATTTGTTGTCTCTCTTTAGTTATTTAATTTTAACCAAATTTGTAATTAACATTAACTGAATTTAGCATATAAGTAACTACTTCACACTTGCTCATTATATTTTAATTATGATTTATAACATCAAGATTTTTCAAATTCACTCGAGTCCTTTTATAGTCCATTTGGGATTGCTTTTGAATCGCTTAAAAGTGTTTTTATTTTTTTTTAAAATGTATTTGAATGTATTTGGTAACCAGTAATAACTTTTAATAGTTATTAATTTTAGCTCATAGAGTTCTTGAATGAAGCTAAAATTTGTAACTTTTCAAATTGCGTTTTAGTAGAGGTTCCATATTTTAGATAACAATTTTTTATAGATAATTTAATCCATTTTAATTTTTTACAAAATAAGTTCACCCCCTTTTATTAAGTTTATATTATTTATATAATAACATTTTATTAAAGGATATTATTGTAAAGTAATAATAATTGTTAAAAGAGCATAACTACACGGAGTGAACTAGTTCAAATATTGTTAATGTTACTAACAAATAACGGTGATAATAAAATCACTATTAGAAGAAGTTACGTACTAAATTATGTTGTAACAAATTAAAATTTTGGTTGAAAGAGCATAATTACGAGCAAGTGACTTCTTAATGTGAAAAGTTTAATATAATATCTTATTGTCATCATATATATTCATTCTTTTTTATGCTTCTGGATGATAATTTGGTTGGTATTATTATTATTACTAATATTTTTGTTCTTATTTTGTTTTTTGTTCGGATAAAATAAAAAATAAAAAAAATAAAAACCATTTGAACTATTGCTATTTTTTTACGCAATGGATAACCTTTTAACATGTCAACCATGTTTGTTACACAATGTCCATCATTCAGAGGTTTTAACGTCCACCAAGTTTATTCATAAACTAGTTTAGATGTGCTCTGCTCATCGTTTACCCCTTGAATTCCAAAATCGAAATGCAATTGTAGCTTCTGTCCAAATACACGCTCCTATTGACATAGAAAGTCACCAAGTCTCGCTGATAATTGATGCTTACATTGTAAAGACAAAGAAACAAAAGAGAGAAAATATAAGTGAACAAGGAGCCAAAATAGGAAGTAAATCCATTTGTCAAAAAAACTATCAATTTTCTAGCAATTCTGTTGAACAATTTATAAATGTTCAATTAAAAAACCTAGCACTTGATAACGATTTTTTATAGATAATTTAGTCCATTTTAATTTTTTACAAAATAAGTTCACCCCCGTCTTTTATTAAGTTGATATTATCTATATAATAACATTTTATTAAAGGATATTATTGTAAAGTTAACAATAATTGTTAAAAGAGCATAACTACATGGAGAGTGAACTTTTTCAAATATTGTTGATGTTACTAACAAACAACGGTGATAATAAAATCACCATATGAAGAAGTTACGTACCAAAATAAGTTGATATAAGTTAAAAACTTGGTTGAAAGAATATAACTACGAGTGGGTTACTTCTTAATGTGAAAAGTTTAATAGAATATCTTATTGTCATCATATATACATTCTTTTATATACATTCTTTTTTATACTTCTGGATGATAATTTGGTTGGTATTATTATTATTATTATTATTATTATTATTATTACTATTTTTTTTATTCTTATTGTATTTTGTACGGATTAAAAAAAAAAAAAAAAAACAATTTGAACTATTGCTATTTTTTTACGCAATGGATAATCTTTTAACTTGTCAACCATGCTTGTTACACATTGTCCACCATTCAGAAATTTTAACGTCCACCATGTTTATTCATAAACTAGTTTGGAAGTGCTCTGCTCATTGTTTACCCCTTAAACTCCAAAATCGAAATATAATTGTAGCTTCTGTCCAAATACACGCTCCTATTGACATAGAAAGTCGCCAAGTCTAGCTGCTAATTGATGCTTACATTGTAAAGACAGAGAAACAAAAGAGAGAAAATATAAGTGAACAAGGAGCCAAACAACGAGTACTATATAAAATTACAATAGTAAATTTGTGAGAAATATTTCGAAGTTCAGATTGACAAGAAGGCTTGCATTTAGTTGTTCTAGTAAAACAAGTGCAACTAAGTACTTTTATATAATGTGGGATCTGCCCATCCTGGGTGCATTGCATGGAAATCTGCGCACTGACAAAATTGCGACTACGTTTTGTTTGAAAAATCATAGCATGATCAGTTACTGAGAAATATTTAGGGTCGAAAAAGAAATTTAATAATGAGGATAGTTTCGTGACATTTTATAAATTAATTAATTGAATTAAATAATTAAGAGCACACGACATTTGAAACCATCGATGTCAATGCAATTTACCCGATTTCGTTTAGTTTCACGTGATTGATTTTGCTTTAATTTTTTCACACACACATATATATAGTAGTGTAAATGCTTCTCGAATTTGTACCCTTGACAACATTATCCTGTATAAGCAATTTATGTACACTAAAAAGAGATGCTGTACCCTTGACAACATTATCCTGTATAAGCAATTTATGTACACTAAGGTAAATGTCAATGCAATTTACCCGATTTCGTTTAGTTTCACGTGATTGATTTTGCTTTAATTTTTTCACACACACATATATATAGTAGTGTAAATGCTTCTCGAATTTGTACCCTTGACAACATTATCCTGTATAAGCAATTTATGTACACTAAAAAGAGATGCTGTACCCTTGACAACATTATCCTGTATAAGCAATTTATGTACACTAAGGTAAATGTCAATGCAATTTACCCGATTTCGTTTAGTTTCACGTGATTGATTTTGCTTTAATTTTTTCACACACACATATATATAGTAGTGTAAATGCTTCTCGAATTTGTACCCTTGACAACATTATCCTGTATAAGCAATTTATGTACACTAAAAAGAGATGCTGTACCCTTGACAACATTATCCTGTATAAGCAATTTATGTACACTAAGGTAATTTTTTCACACACACATATATATAGTAGTGTAAATGCTTCTCGAATTTGTACCCTTGACAACATTATCCTGTATAAGCAATTTATGTACACTAAGGTATCATCCAAACATTGCTCATCCAACGGCAACGCCCAATATTGACAAAAGGTCTTCTAGACTCTCCTCCCAATCGGCTTAGTAAGTTTGGAAGTAGAAGCACAACTTGTCCAGAGAAACCACCTGGCTTCCTCATAAAAGAGATGCTGTATAACAAAAAGCAAGATTCAATGTCTCACAAAGTGCAAATACAAATAGCTCTCCATATATGCCGACAAATATGGAGAATAAAGAACTTTACCAGTAATTCCTTTGCAAGGAGTTGTTCTTCATAGCTGCTAAATTCTTCACCTCTTGACTGTTTAAAAA